TCTTTTTTACTATGAATAAAACTTGAAGAAATACATTAAAAAATATAAGTTATATAAAAATTCCTTAGAAATAGTGACATCTTTTTTTGAGAGAAAAGACCTCAAAAATAAGAAAATAATTCCACATTTAATTAATCATCCTCTATAGCTGCTAAGGAAGTAGAGGCGGCAACTAAAGAAAAAAAAAAAAGAAAAAAGGCAAAGGATGGGAGCGAGATAGAAGAGAGAGGGAGGCTAGGGTTCTCACTAGGCTCTTGTTGATATGAAATTGAATCATCATCTTAGTCAAAGAAGATGAGTTGCGGCCGCCGGGTCCCATGACATCGTCGAGCTAACCATATAGCAGCCTAATAGAAATTTGTTGGGTAGACAGTCATGGGGAAACAAAAGTATACCGGAAGAAACCCCGAGTGAAGGCATTAACGACTCACCGTTCCCCCGTATATATCACACACCAAATAAAAGGACACCAATGCACCTCAGGTTCTATTCCTCTTTTTTTTAATAAAAAAATTAAAGCAGAAAGCAATTTGTCTGTTAAATAGGACAGAAAATGTGTTGACACTAGCATTGTTACAATTGTATGTAATTATGCATGTATATATATATAAATTCTTGTTTAATTAACAATTTTAAAAAATCAACAACTTAAATAACTCAATAATAATATTTTTTAAAAATTTCATAAAAATAAAAGATATTGAATTTGAGTTACATAATATATAAATAAAATATAGTTAAAAAATAAAAGAGGATTACCTCTTATTTTACAATTTAAGATAAAAAAATAAAAATAAAATAAAAATTCAACCATTTAAATATGGTAAAAACAATCAACAATTAAAATGGAACGGCACTAATCTTCATCGGTTAAAAGGGATTTATTTTTTGAGTTGTACATCATCCAGGCATCAGAGTAAGTAAAACTATACTTGGCAAAATTTCACTCGACCCCTCGACCCGACCTTAACTCGACTCGTAAAAAACATGTTATGATTTACATATCTCAACTCATAACCTATAGATAACCCGTATTATTAATCCGTACAAGTCACGGGTCGGGTTATGGTCAACCCGTGGGTTGATGGATTGACTCGTTTGTTTTGTTTTTTATTATTATTTTTAAATATTATACTTATTATCCTTAATTAATTTTCTTATTAGTAACTCCTTCCATTAATTCATACTCCCTAATTTCTAGAGAAAGAAAAAGAAATTATGATAAGTTTGATCTAATTACCCAAGTATCATTTTTTTTTT